TTTTTTTTGGAGACAGGGTCTCCCTGTAGCCCCAGCTGGCCTGGAACTTACTATGTAGACCAGGCTGGTCTTGAACTCACAGAGATCTACCTGCCTCTGCCTCTCAAGTGCTGGGATTAAAGGTGTCTGCCACTACTCCCATCGGGCTGAGTTCTTAATGGGAGTCAAGCAATATAACTGTGAGACCAGGCTGATCTCTGAGACCCACCTGCCTCTGCTTGGATCTGAGATTAATTTGGTGTGTACCACCATACGCTGTTTGTGTCACTTTTAAATGATGTTCAGTCCTAATGGGAGGACTCTGTAGGTCCTGATCATGGAGCACAGTGCTTGATGGATTGTTCCAGCTTCCCACAGGCTTTTCCTTACTGGAGAGCAGGAGGGGTAATGTTTTTGTTTTTGACAAACATTGTATATTAAAAAAAGGACCCAGGCTATAAAACATAATTGTGTTGTTTCATAACAACATACATTTTCAGTGAATGTTATATGTGCTTTGGATGGACCCGGGGCTCTCCAAGCTCCCCTGTGGGAAGAAGGCCCCCTTTCTCTCTCTGCTATGCCTTTAGAGATGGTTTGCGGCACTGGTCTCTTGTACTCCAGAGTAGTTGTGAACAGCTAGCTCTTCAGTCCACCTTAAACTTGGTGTCTGAGGCTTTATATGAAGTTGCTATGTGTTTCTATTCCTAATGCCATTTGAAGGTAGAAACCTGTGTCACTTTCATTATTTATTTATTATTTGCTTTTTGTTTTCTTTTTGTTTTTGTTTTTTGATACAAGTTCTCCTTGTAGCCACAGCTGACTCGAAACTCGCTATATAAACCAGGCTGGCCTCTGTCTCACAGAGACCTGCTTGCCTGTGCCTCCAGAGTGCTGGATTAAAGGTGTGCCACTACACTTGCTTTTCACTTTTATTTTATTTAAAAAATGTTTTTATTTTATTTTTTGTGTATGTGTATTGCTTGCATGTATGTAAGTGTACCCATGTCAGTGCCCGTGGAGGTCAGAGAGGGTGTTGGATCCCCTGGAACTGGAGTTACAGAGGTTGTTAGTGGCCATGTGGGTGCTGGGAATTGAACCTGGTTCCTCTGCAAGAGCAACCAGTGCTGTTGAGTGCTGAGCCTTCTACCAGCCCCTTTGTGTCACTTTTCAGTAGTATTCAGGGGTCCTAGGCTCAGGGTCATGTCTCTGCCCCGGTGTAGACAACATCAGACACTTTTTCCTCCACAGAGGCCTCTCCTTGGTCCTGTCTTTCTACTGCCTTTCCTGGAGGACTCCTCCTGGTGCTGCCAGCTCTGTGTTGGGGGTTTGAGTGCCCTGCCATGAGAGCCTGCACAGGGCCCAGTGTGAGGGCGGAGGAGCCTCATTTCATCTCATAGCCATGCAGCTGGTAACAGTGTGAATTTATTTGTCTTTGGGGAGTCATCCCTTTACTAGAGCACGGCACGGCCTGAACCAGTCCTTTCATTCCCATCTTTACATACAGGTGCTAAGGAGCCTTATTCATAGAAAGGACTAGCTGGAAGTGACGGCTATTTTGTTTCAGCAGTGGCAGTTGTCCGGGTTGCCCTGGTCAGCCTCCCTGGGTCTCCGCTGCTGGGGCTGGTAAGGACCTGACAGCTGCTTGCCAGGCAGAAGACTCAGCAAGGCACCACAAGTCCCTGTGCTCAGTAACCACTGCTTGGTTCTGGCACATCAGATGTAGGGAAAGGCCTTCTTTGTCTAGAAGTCAAAGGACCATTGAGGGGTGACGATGGTGATGGATAGAACCCTTCCCTTGGAGACTTTGGGGACCAGGGCTCCTGAGACTTTGCTCTCTGCAGGTGCCCTGAGACTCAGGACTCCTGGATTGTCTTTGAAGAGCCCAATGGGCAAAGAGTTGCACATGCCTGGGCGCTGATACACTCACCACCCCCAGAAGCACGTTGTCAGTTGTGTTGTTGCCTCAGCTGTTGACTCTTTCATTGAGTCTCACGGCAGGTCACTCTAAAGAACACCACAAGCTCACACTGATTTTTGCATTATGTGTTCTTAAAGTTAACACATTGAATTTATTGGAAAATAAACAACATGTACATCACTCTAAGGAGTGCAGCATGAGGGTCAGGGTTAGGGTTAGTGCAGACAGCTTGCTGTGGCATCATAAGCAAGTAGACCACATTGGTCAGACTTCACCAGCTCTGCATTTCCTTGATGGCAGTACATTGCTTGTAAAGTCGCCTGAGTGCTTGTGCACATTCTGTCAGAGCAAGTCAGCATTTTTACAGACAGCACTTGATGCTCAAACTGAAGAGGGTTTGGACCTCAGAGCACATTACGACATTTGATAGAAAACATTTAAAATACATTTCTAGTTCTGAAGAGCACACATGAAAGTCTTTTTGTGCACCGGTGCGTACTGCTGAGCTAGTTATGGGCCTGCTTGTCTCCATCTGCTGCTGCGCAGACAGGAAAGCACAGTTCAAGCCCGAGTCCTGGCAGGAGTCATTCAGATGTGTTTACAACCAGACGTAGAAGTGCCTCCTAATATTTATACCTAATGTTTACAAAACTGAACTGAATTAATAGCCTTTCTTTGTATTTTTTGAGAAGAGAAACTATTTATAAAAATTAATGACAAAAAGTGAAGGTAAAACTGGGGTGTACTGGTTGTCCTAGCACTTGGGAGGCTGAGGCAGGATTGCAAGTTTGAGGCCAGCCTGAGCAGCAGGGCAAGACCCTGCTTCTAAAAAAGCAGAAAGGTGAAGGTGTGCCTCAGACATGGTGTGGAAGGCGTCTTTGTGGCCACGGCCCAAGCGCACGTGAGGCCTCAGGGCACCCGGGTTCTTCTGCGTAGAGTAAACACTCTTGGCACTGTGTCGTTCAGCTTTGGCTTTTTAGTCCCTTGCTGGGATTTTCCTGCGTCCCTTTGACTTGTCCTCTTTTGTCCTTTGGGTTTGAGGTCACACTGAGTCCCCTGGTTCTCTGTAGAACTGAGGGTGGGCACATCTTGACAAGTAGATTCCTGGGCTGTGCGCTCCCCATCGCCCACTCGAACATTCCCTGGGCTGTAGGCTGCCAGCTGACAAAGGGCTACAGCTGCCGTCTGCTTCTGTTCCTCACTGCTGTCTACCATGCGTGTCTCCGGGGCCTTCTTACTGGCCTTCTTGTCTTGCTGTAGCTCCACGTGGCTTGGTCTGTCTCTGGAACCGTCAATCTTAGTCTTTGGAGCAGCAGCAGCAGCGGGTTCTGTGCTTTGCGGTGGGCTTGGGAGGACAGGTTTGGGAGCCCAGGCGTTGCAGGGATCCTTCACAGAGAGATTGAGGGGCAGGTCTTGCAGCTCTGATAAGCTCAGGGTTTCCACCTGGGCACTGCCTGCATACATAGGTCCAGGATTAACTGCAGGGTTTGTCTCTGACTTCTTGGAGAGGTTGAGGGGGCCTATCTTGGAGTGGTCCTCTGGGCTGGAGGGTGGGGCCTCTGTGATGAGAGAAGTGCTCGTTGTCTGGGCTGGAGGGTCTCCATTTCTGGCCTGGGGGCTAGAAGAGATCAAGATAAGGCTTAGAAAAATGATTACCCCAAGTGTGAACTTGGTATTGAATGAAATAGCCAAGACCATCACATTGAAAGTTTTGGAAAATAACTTTCCTTACCTTTTTGGAGACTCTGCTCTGTTTCCAGGAGGCTGGGAATGAGGGCATTCTGCGCTCCTCTGCACAGGTTTGAATGTTGTGGGGCTCTGTTCTGGCTGCTGGAGTCGTTCCAGGGTCCCAGAGGCGGCTGCTTTGTTTGAGAGGTCACACAGGCCTTCGCACGTCTGGCTCGTCTGCGTGAAGTTGGTGGGGCTCGGCCTCCCTGGGGAACCTGTGGCCGCGCTGCCAGCTCGGGGGCTCATTTTGGCCCCTTCTGTGTCTCTTCGCCCATCTTTAGAAGGGTCTTCAGCCTCAGGACCTGGACTTTGCTTCTCAAACTCTGTGTGCTTTTTGTGGGAATTTAAAGGGTTTATCGAGTCTGAAGGACTCAAGGCTGGGTAGGCCAGGGCTGCTTCTTCGAGCAGGCGAGTGCTCTGATCTCGGGTAATGCCAGTGACAGGTGGGAGCCTGAGGCTGTAGGAGGAAAATGCAGACTCTGCTCTGTAAAATCCATAAGGAATTGGCAGATTCGAGTGACACTGCTGGAGAAACCTGTAGTGGTCGTATGTTGAGGGAGGTGGGGTCAGGTGCTTGGGGATTGGCCCAGGGTGAGGCAGGAAGTGTCTTTGGTCTTGGGCCCCATAGACAGACAGCAAGGGGGTGTCACACTCAGGTGCATTCCCAGCCAGCAGGTAGGGAGAGTAGATGGCAGCCAGCCCATGCTCTGTGTAGAAGGGATGGGGGTACTCTGGGATTGCAGGGTGCACATAGGGGGAGATAGCACTGAACCCCTTTGTAGATGGGATTTTATGTGGAAACTCAGGTGGGAGGAATGGGGAGCCAGCTTTCCACTGGTAACCTGGAGTATGGAATGCTGATTTGGCATGGAAAGAGGTGGCTTTGGTGGTTGGGTTGGTTAATGCCAACATTTCAGGAGCCTCTGTGTCTTCTGGTCCCCTAAGTCTGTGCTCCCCAACTGGAACAAATGCCGAAGGCCTGACCCCGCTCTCCAGACCAGGCTGGACGCTGAGAACGGCATCTGGTGCCACCTCCTTCTGGAGGGCTGGTTTCTGAGGACACTTGTGGGCACCCTGAGCCTGCAGATCCAGGTTCTCCTTTGCATCTTCCTTCACAAAGCCCTGCGGGGCCTTTGGATCAAAACTGGAGAGTCTGTTCGGGAGGGACTTGGAAGAGGCTAGCTTTGAGCTGGGCTCTGGCTGGTGGGTCTGCTTAGGGTCCAGTGAGTTAGACTTGGGACACTTGGGAATGCGATCCTGCTCAGACACTAAGGTGATAGAGTTTTTGCAGAGCCCATACTTCATGTGATTGAAAAGATGAGACTTCTCGTTGCATGTGAAGGGGCACTGGAAGCATTTGTACTTGAAGGGCTTTCCTGGGGGCCGTGGGATGTAGTGTGGCTTTTTTGGCTTCCGTTCCTTTAGGAGACTCATTGTTCTCTGTGCTTGGACTCTGGTCTGCTGTGTGTGGTCACTGACTCCTCCTTAACCAGGATGGTGGCTTTGAAGGAGGCAGCTGGCCGTCCTTGCTCTCTCTTCTGAGCTCTTATTTGAAGGCAGCTCCACGTGCTGAGAGTCTCATGGAGAAAGTCCCTCCCATCTGGCACCTAGAGCTGTGAAGGCAGACAGAGACAGGTGTCAGGTGCAGGAGCAGTGGGTTAGTGCCCATACTAACACTAAAGACAGAGTTGGAGCCGAGTTCCTTCACCAAGCAGGTGACACCTGCATCCTTACTAGCCTGCTCTGCTCGGTGCCAGCCCCGCATGATGTTTTCTCAAGTCCGACCGGAAAGAATTGCCTGGGAACCAAGAGAACACAGTGTGCAAAGGTTTAGTGTTGAGTCGTAGAATATCTGTGATTCTTTGGGTTTCGAGGCCCTTAAACCTCGTAATCCAGACCTTCCTGTGGTCCATTTCCACATGGTTTCTGGCCAAGACCTGTTGCAGAGCTGCCCTGCTAAGTGCTCTTGGCAGCCACGTTGCTGCTATATTTTGTGTGTATTTAAAAAACGGAAGAGAGCCAGCCGGGCGTGGTGGCGCATGCCTTTAATTGCAGCAGAGGCAGAGGCAGGTGGATCTCTGTGGGTTCAAGGCCAGCCCGGTCTAAGTAGTTCCAGGGCAGCTGGGACTACAGGGAGATCCTGCCTCAAAAAGACCAATAAATAAATAAATAAATAAATAAATAAATAAATAAATAAATAAATAAATAAAATCTGT